CTGCAGATGTTAATGAAAAATGGGTATGAAAAATAAATATGCAGATATTGATTGCATTAAAACAGTTCCATGCTGCCTCTCTACAGATGGAAGCTGTAATACCAATTCAAAACTGTATGCAACATTTTTTTTTTTTTTAATCCAGTGTCATCAGAAATTGAGCATAGTTTACTTTCTGTCCCCACCTTAGAAGGACATTGACAGGCTTTAATATAACACAGTTAATTATTAAAATGCAGTTCATCTGGATAATTGGACTTGACGACAGTAATGTACAAGTAATGGTAGCCTTAAAGACGTGTTGCAGATATCTTTATTTAAAAAAAAAAAAAAGTTGAGATTTGCAAATTATGGTATACACGAGAAAAATTTGAAAAAAATCTAACGATTTTTTTAGTGTCGCAAGTTGGCGAGTATGCTGCTGGAATAATAAATTGCATAGGTTTTGAATTTATGTGCACATACTTAAGAAAAACGGACTAGTTTTGGTAGTTTTGTCATTCTGTTTTCATCCTTTTTAATTTCCTTTGTAAGGATGGAAATTCATCGTAACCTAATTTTGTTGTTCGATCGATAAGCAAGCTAGTAATTAATTGAAAGGGACAACTAACAAAGTCATCCCCACATTCATGAGATGTCTTTGGTAATGAAAAAATGTGAGGAATGGGTACCTCCCCACTGCCCAGTTTGGTTAACAAAAATTGATTAGAGAAATCTTATCTCCCTAATATTCGGGAAAAAAATCCTGTCTGAATAGCCAGGAAATTTTTTAGAGTATTTGAGTTGTGTTTTGAAATATGATTTATGTATTAATTTTAAAAATATGCGATTTTTGAATGTGATGTACTGATTCAGAGCTTTTCTCAAAAAAGTCTTTCTGATGTTAGATAAAATATAAATGTAATTGCATCACTTTTTGCTATTTTTACTTTTCCCTGCTAAATAATAAGCCAGCATGTAAAGTTGGACGTCTTTCTTGTTGTGCAGATTTAAAATGTTAATAATTAACAAGTAAAGCTTACCTTAAATTTCTTATTACATACTTATTAGGTAGTTAAAATTCTAAAGATTACAAAACATTTTAAGTTTCTTGAATGTTTTGTGTTCTAAAGTATTTTGAAGTTAAAATTTCCTGAATTTGACATCCGTGCTGTGCTCTGTTGAAATAAACTTCATGATAATGTATTTGGTAGTATTTTATGTCCATTGTCAACAATGAATATTGTCTGTATTTGGATGCATTAAACCTGACTGAAGCACTTTTTTTTTTTTTTTTTTTTTTTTTTTTTTTTTTTTCTTTTTTTTTTTTTTTTTTTTTTTTTTTTTTTTTTTTTTTTTTTTTTTTTTTTTTTTTTTTTTTTTTTTTTTTTTTTTTTTTTCTTTTTTTTTTTTGTTTTGCTATGTAAATTCTGTTGTAATTCCTGGGGGGGGGATATTGTCTCATTCAACATTTTACTTTGCAGTGGAAAAATTTCACTATTTGTGTTTACTGTTGTTGTTTGCTGTCTAATGTTCAAAGGGAAATCTGATCCATCTGAAATTATGTATTGAAGGAAAATGCAAAGAAAAGGAACTGTGGGACACATTTTCCTTCATAGACTGTCATTAAGTTCATCAAGATGCTACAGATGGTGATTATTTCATTCAGAATTGTGTAATTGAGAAAGATTGATGAGGGATCTATACAAGCATCATAGTGTATGTGTGTAGAAAAAGTTGACGTTGGTGAAAATCTTGGAACTTTTTCATGTATTTCCATTCTAATGTATATTTCATCTTAATTATAACTGAATGGAGGACTTGTTCTGAAGTTTAATATTTGCCAATAGGATAAAATAGTACTCTCCAGTAAGTCTATGAACTTCAGTTTCTCTTGCAAAACAATGTTCAAATAAGTAAAGTTAAATAATGATTAATAACACAATGGGTTACACCTGTAATCCACATTCTTTCAAACTTACTTTTATGCATGGTTACTGCCATTTATAACATGTGATTTAAAATTTAATTATAGTTAAAAAAAAACTTGTTAACTTCTTAAAGGGGTGTTGTTTCTTAGGACAGTGCTTTTTTTATTATGGTTATAAAAAGTTCAGTTATAAAAGTTATTTCATTAAATTCAATGTTTAACATTATATATAGCGATAATAATCTTCCATTGCTGTCAGTTGCTTTTATGTTTTCATTGATTTTCTGTATGAATAAGTTTAAAAATTCAGTATATCTCATCATTTATCCTCCCTCCCCCCTCAGAATAATATAGCTCATCATATTTAATCAGCAGCCTAACATTTCATCTGTGCATGCTGTTTAATTGCTCTTTCAAGACCAAAGGTTTTTCTTTTAGGTTTTTGACGAATGAAGGCGCAAAAATTTTTCAGTGAAATGTTTACTATTTTGTTTGGTAATAGTTGTGTGTAATGTGGAAGCAACATATGCCTGTTTGTTCTTTTAATTGTATTTGAAGCTTGCTTTCTGATAATCTAGGCATATGTGTGCTTCATCTACATACTAATTATTTTATACTTTTTATATTAAGAACTTCTCCCTCCCAGTTAGTCTGTAGGTAAAATGTAAGCTTTTTTTTTTTTTTTTTTTTTTTTTTTTTTTTTTTTTTTTTTTTTGTTTTTTTTTTTTTTTTTTTTTTTTTTTTTTTTTTTTTTTAATTTCAAATTTAATCTATCAAGGATTAAAAGCTAAGCTATTTAAAAATAATAGGTACAGACAGCTGTTAATATTATTATTTTTTACCTACAAAAAAAATTCTGCCAGTCAGTGGTGTGAAATTTGTTTCATGGAAAGATTCCCATTAACCGTCTGACCGGCCAGGGTTTTCGCTAAGAAAGCACAAATTTCCCAAAACTACTGTGAGAAAAAATTATTTTCTTGATTTAAATGTAAAAATTTTCCTGGTATTCTATACCTGGATTTGTGTACTTTTAACTGCCCCCCATAGTTGGTCATAAGTCTGTTAAATTTATCTCCTTTCATTAGAAGTTATTACATCACTATATAAAATATTCTATATAGATTTTTTTTAATGAAAAGAATTTTTCAACGTAGTAAAATGTTTATGAAATTTTATGTATATTCTGTAATGAGTCACAGAAAGTAGTTTGGCTCAAATATTTAATTCTTTATTTATTCAGTTTATGTAATTTCCTGTAACACAAAGGAAATATACTTTTAATTTATATGAAGTTCATTTATTTATTTCACGACCAGAACGTCCCATGCAGCCTTTCGTTCAAACGACCTGAGATTGCATGCTGTGTTTGTGTCCTCCCTTAAAGTACGCAATAACCTAATGTGCAATTTTCCCAAATGAATTGTATCAGGCATTCTTGCCATAAAATAATTATTTTGTTTCTTATTGTTAACTCTCTGGCTGCTCATCCCGCAATTTCCGCGGGCATGTGTTTGTTTTTTTTGTTTTTTTTTTTTTTTTTTTTTTTTTTTTTTTTTTTTTTTTTTTTTTTTTTTTTTTTTTTTTTTTTTTTTTTTTTTTTTTTTTTTTTTTTTTTTTTCCCTTTATTGAGGAGCACATCCCGTTTTCCCCCGTTTAATCATCAAAATAAATTATATAGAGTATTAGATGTTTGGTTTATGTTTTGGCCAATAGATATCGTTAGTTGTCCACTAAATTGTGCATTTGGAGGCATGTGGTATTACCGCTCAAACTCCACCTTTTGCGGTTTTTTCCTACAGAAATGGCTGCTAGAAAACATTCAGCAATTATCTTAATTATTTAATTAAATTATTGAATTATTAATTAGATTTATTTAATCTGGTGCAAAGACTGTGAAGTTGGACTTTGCCATGAAACCTGTTTCGAACTCTATCATACTAAACTGCATTTCTAAGGTAGTTTTTCCTTTAGTGCTTTATATTTTCTTAAATTTTATACATTTTGCTTTTTTATATTATGCAATAAATAGACTGTAATTCAACTGAAATTTTTTTTTGGGTGATAACATCTGAAATTGTTTTTTCTGGTAACTGTAATTTCTCTATATAAAAATTATTTTCTAGAAAGAAAAAGTTAATTTTTCAATTCTCCAATATATATAGATTTAAAATATGCAAAAAAAATTACACAATTTTTGAAGCGATTTCGATCCAAAAATTGAGCAGTCAGAGGGTTAAACGTGAAGTAGTATACACTCGTGGCTAGTCGAAACTCCATTGTTAGGAGCTAGAAGCGGTATCATTTGAAATTTTCACACCTTTTTTTTTTTCATTAATGGAGGAGGGGAGATTGTTATGAAGCTGAAGTAGATTTTGAGCCATTTTGCTGTATTAAGCAAACAGGTTTTCCCTTCAATGGAATATATTCTATCAGCAATGCAATATTGCTTCATCTGTAAATAATGTAAAAGTAGATAAGAGTTTTAGTTATGCAGTAAATAAGGGCAGTTTAGCATAAACTGAAAAAAACTTGCCCACTGTTAATTTATATATATATATATATATAAGGCTGTCTGCCTCCCATAAACCTACATCCTACCTTAAGTAAGTATTTTAATTTATAAGCATGCAGAAGGTGAAGAGATTATACAGAATCTAATATGTGGATAGAATGGAATTTTTTTCATTGCATACATTGCAAAATATCTTTAATGTGATAAATTTGCGTGTCTTTGAAATTACCCAAGTCATACATTTAGTCTCATTTTTTTGCTTTTCATTTTTAAAATGTTAAAAAATCAGTAACCAGGTAAGATAATCAGGCATTGGCTGCACTTCTTTTTATGCTAACTGCTTTGGGAACTGCTACTTATTCTTTTATATTAATCATTTTATTTAAAACTTCCTTGTAGAGATAAAAAGAACATTGGTCTTAGCTTTATCTAATTACTTCTAATAACTTTCTTTTAATGCTTATTGTTAGAATTAAAATTTAACATTTTTCATGGACAACATGGCCTTATCCTTTGGGCTATGAATAGCTCAGCCATTTCATTAATAGTTCTATATTTTTGAGTTTTTAATCCTTACAGCCTATGGAAGTTTATGTTGACGATGAGGCTAAGTTAACACTGCATGGACTACAACAATATTACGTGAAGCTAAAAGACAATGAAAAAAATAGGAAATTGTTTGAACTCCTTGATCTGCTTGAATTTAATCAGGTAACATTTTTTGTTTTCTATTTTTGTAATGTTGTATGAATGTATGTAGGAAAATATACTGTCATATTGCTTTATACATTTTTAATCTTTTCATCCCCTTAATGCCCATGTATTCCTTCAGTAAGAATATATTGATAGTGCATCACAGAATGTTCCCAGTTCCTGTACATTTTTTATCTAAGTCTACTATCAAGAATGCTTTCTTAAGAAGTTGATATCAAAAGTTACATTTTGCTGATACTAAGAAATTTAAAAATCTTAATACTTTTAATAAGATTTTTTTCCCAACTTGCTGTCCTAAGAGTTTCATGAAAAGAAAATCTTTGAATTTTTCCCTATAGGCTTTTTAAACATGTCTGTTTTAAAAAAATATATAATTCCAATGTGTTTGTTATGTAAGGGGAGTTGGAACCCCAAAATATTCAAAAAATTGTGATTGCAGATTTTTGCATTTTCAAATTCTCTACACTTTTATCTTTCTAAAATACCAATCTTTAATCTCTATGAAAATTAGAACTATAAAAAAATCTATTTTTTAGTATGTCATTGACTGCTTTGATCAATGAGGATTTTTTACATAAAAACGCGTTTTCTCCAAACGTGATTTTTTTATACTCGATGTACCTTTTCTCAGGAAACTATGCTCACAGGTATCTAAAATTTTTATGGCTTATTTATTAGGTTTCCTATATTACTGAAATGAGCTTTTTGTGATAAATTTAGAATAAAAAATTTAAAAAAAAAAGTTTTTTTTTTTGTGTGAGAAAAGTGCTAAATTTTACTATGCCTAATAAAATATTCTATAAATTACTCTAAAATTCAAAATGTTTCAAAAGCTCATTTCAGTATAATCAGATAGGTATACTTTAATTACACAAAAAATTTCAAGCGTGTATCTACAGCAGATTTTGAGAAAAGGTACATTGAAAATGGCCAATTTAACATTGTCGGTATAGGGATTTCTGATACTCCTTAAAAGCCAGCATGAAAGGATTACAACAAAATGTTTTGTAGCTTAATAGAATGCAAGCATTAATATAAAGCGGTTAAAAGTTTGCTCTCAAAGATAAGTATGATATGTACTACCTTAATAGTCTGGATGCAATTCAATATGTATGTGTATATACTCAAAAAGTATCATGAGACTGATACTTTTTAATGGATCTGTATATAGTTTGTCTGCTTGAAGATTTATAAATTTTCATTCTTAGGAGAAATTTCACAAAAAATCCATTTAATGATAATAAAACATTTTTAACAGACTAGTCTTGTCCTTACTCGCCATATAGTACACCATATCCATCGAATCCTTACATGGCCTTTTATAATGTTTTTAATTGTGTGTTGTTTTGTTATACAGTCAACTTTGCTGTTATGTCTTTTGAGAATGTGCTTCAGGTTTTCAATCATATTTAAGTCTGGTGAATTTCTCATCTTTCCATCATGAACTTTTTGAAAGATTTCAAATTGTGGCATGGAGTGAAGCTAAAGTAGCACAATCCAACATTTTAAAATTTCTGTATAGACTTCCAGTGCAACCTTCAATGGGGGGGGAAAGCCCAAAACATTTGTTTTTGAGAGTATTTTATGGTTTATTGAATATGTTGAGGTCTTATTTATTTATCCTAGCTTCATCTAACAATATTAGATGTAATCCTGAACAATTAAAAGAGTCATCACTGAAAATGACCTTTTTGAAATCATTTATCATCCAAGATTTGTATTTTTTGGCCCATAATAATCGTTTTTGCTTCATTTGATGAGTCAAAAGTTGTAATTGGCTTCCTTGTTTTCCTGTGCTACACATTAAGGTCTTTGCTAGTTTTTGTTGAATTAATAATGCTATTTTGAATCAGATTCATCAAGATATAATAGAAGTTTTTATGTGCAATGAGTAGAAAAGCTATCAATAAGGAATTTTATGCCGTAATCTTTAAAGGGTTAAATGACATTTAGTTATATTCTTTTGTAATCTACTAGTGTGTAACATTCTGTAATTTATAATTTTATTGCAGTTGGTAAGCCAAAAACATTTTCAAATGCTAAAAATACATTATTAATATTCTCATGAAGTTTATTGCATGAAAATTTTAATCTTAATAATCATGAAACTTAAACTAGAAATACTTTCATTTTAATGTATGAAAATAATACTCATGCATAAATTACTTATCACTCAATCTATTAACATGAGAAACCTTTTTTTTAAACTGAGATTTTATTTTTAATTATAAATTTCAGTTTTCAATTTCTGTGCACCACAAACTTTAGAACAATATATTTGTGTCAGGTAAAATTTTCCTAAACATAAGAATAGGAATAATAAACACATAAAATATTCAATTTTTTAATTTAAAAAGTATTAGAAATACAAAGTCATTTAAAATATTTTTGTAACTGGAAGTATGTGTCTTCAACCAGTGGTGAAAGCCTTGTTAAGGACTTCTGCAGGCACAATATATAATATCTCAGGTGTAGCTAATCAATTGGCAAATATGTGCATTCATTTTGCTTTCCTTAATCTTCAGGGTACCTTCATTTGGGGGGGGGATATTTACAGGTAAAGATTTTATTAATTTTTAATCTACGGCATGTGTCCTCTTTTGCTTAATTATTAACACTGCCCTTCCCTGAAAAGGTTTTAAATTTCAGTCTCAAAAATGTTCTGACAAGATGTATATTGTCAAATGCAAAAAATTGTGATAGCATTCAATTTTGTACAAGCAAGTTATCAGTTTATAAATGTTCTTGAATTGTTTGCTCATTATTATCCTTTAGAGTTCTGTTTCAGTGCTTAATTTTTAAATTGATTTTAAAATGCCTATTCTGTTTGCTTTAAAAAAAAAAAAAATTCTTCAAATTTTCCTAATTTGAAAGACGTTGAAAACTAAAATGGAAGTAAACTAATTTTATGCATCAAAATTTCTTAACTGGTTTCCTTTTTGTTATAATGGCAATATTTAATTTTACAGGCAGTATTACTGTATTGTTGATGAACAAGCCTTCAGTTGTATTTATTCGCTAAAAAAGTTTTTTCCCCCCTCCTCTAATTTTTGGGCATTACTGCCCTTTAGGAACCCTCATTTAACCTGAGAGCATGTGTGCCCATTTAAGTTATACAAGTGCACACACTGGTTCCAAAAGACCCAGCTCTTCTTTCTTGAAGGGAAAAAAATTGTGAATCATCAGGGAAAATGTTACATCTATGCCAATAATAAAGTTTATGATTATTAAGTATGTACATTTATTTTCAACCCCTCCAGTTGTTATAAAGTAAAATTTCTTAAAGGAATAGAAAAATGTATTATGTATGAGCACAGGAAAAAAGAATAGTATACCTTTACTATGTATCATTCCTTTGTTTTCTTTATTAACTGTGTAGACACAGAAAAAAATAAAACAACAAATGTTAAATGTGTTAAAGGGTGTTCCAGATACAAATATTTTTCACATTCTACGCATAATGTTTTTGTTTTTCTCTGAGAAAATACTGCATTGCTCCCCTCCCAATAAAGCAATTTATGCCATTTTCATTTTCAGAATCTATATCAGTATCATGCAAACAAAAAATTCATGACCACTTCCGTCTTTCAATAGATTCTTTGTCAGTTGATGCATTTTCTAATAAATTTTGGAACATTTCTTCTTTGTAGAATAAATTATGCAACATGTTTGCCACTTTCTGTGCTATCACAAATCAATTGTCTAATAGCAATATGAATAGCCACACTGGGTCTAAAAGATAGATACAATCAAAGCCCTTTGAAAAAGATTTGTTTAATCGGGCAGGTTCATTGTACCTACTGCATGTGTTCATGAATTAAGTAGATATGTAACAATCTTGGTGTGTTTCACACTAAATTGTACTTCCTAGTAAGATGTGTGATTGTACAGTTGCTCAGTGTTGCATAAATTATTTTAGAAATAAATATGAAATGTTATTCTTTTCTTAAATTTTGGGGAAAATTAAATTAGTAGAATTGAAGTGACCATCCCCTTTTCCCAAGGATCAGCATTTCTTGAGTATTACAGTAAATATATGACATAGTGGAATGAGAAAGTGATCCATAGTTCAAATCTTAATGACAGTATTGCTAATTTTTCATGCACCCTGCATCAGGACATCTTAAGTCTTTGCAGGTTAAGACTTTTAAGTAGGAGAACTGTGATTATTGTAACATAATTATTATTTAATAATTGATATAGTAATTTGAATACATGTTAATGTCTAAGAAATTTAGTAGTTCTTTGTATATATTGTTTATGAAAATACATATTTTTAGTATTAAAAATTGTGTGTAAATTTTTAGGTGGTCATTTTTGTACGCACTGTACCAAGATGTATGGCTTTGGCACAACTTCTTGTTGAGCAGAATTTCCCAGCAATTGCAATTCATCGTGCCATGACACAAGAAGATAGGTAAATATTTCCTAAAAACATCTGATGTAATAATTGTATCTTTGCTGTCTGTATCTTTGCCGGATATTGATAAAGTTTTCATAATTTCCTTGGATAAGTAATATAAGATTAAATAGCACTTAATGTATAAGGTGTTTGCAGTGGTTTAATAATTTCAACACATGTAATGAGTAGTTTATATGTTGGCAAAACTATAGCATGCATGCCACAGTTGGCATGCAACTAAAATATTACTTCCTTGATCAATAATGACAATAAAATGATACTATGTAATTTGGTTAATCTTTGGATTATGGTAACAGGTAGTTTGGTGACATTTTGGTAAGGCGATAAAGCAGTGTACATGGATAAAGTCAAGAGTGTGCGCAATGCCATTTTTGTGCAATTCTGGATTGATTTTTAAGTGAAAATAGGTCACCATGTACATGGATACCATGTATGTGCAATTCTTAAAAACGTGGCAAGCAGTTTGCGATTCTGTACTTTCTCCCAATTTCGCACCTAATCTTCGTCACATGATTAAGCACTTTTGTTCCATAAAAGTTCTAGCATAAGCGTAATTCAGCTAGCAGATTGTTGAAAAAAAATGTTGAGTAAAAAAAAACGCCTTTACTTCGTGAAAACAAAATGGCTTCCAAACAAAACTAACAGGTTGCTAGCAGGGTTGGTCGCCAAAAAAATCGCCAAGTTACCATAATCCAAAGATTAACCTGTAATTTAAATAAGTGTGTTTTAGTCTGTTCTTGAATGTTTCACTTACTTATCTTTACTTACGGCTTATGTTTCACATACTTATGGCACTTTTAACACCAACCATGAGATTGCTCTGAACAGAAGGTGCTTATTGAAGGGAAATTGAAGTATTATGATTAACAGAAAGTTGGTTTTTGAAATTATCTTTCTAAAACAAACCATCTAACAATGCCCAGTTCTCAAATTTTATTGTGCCTGGCAAAACATGGTAAACCGCTCTCCGATGGGGATATAATCAAGAGGTTTGGGGCACACAGCAAGTGAATACTATTAACAGATGTGTTTGAATTACAGAAAAAATAAACAAGTAGTGGAATCTGGCTACTCAGTAATTAAATGTTGAACAATTAGAAAAAGCTGTAAAGTATTTTTTTAAGATATTTAAACTAGGCCTATAATTAAAATATAACAACAATAACTAAAACACTTCTTGGAAGAAACTACAAATATTTTCAATTTCAGTGTTTATATTATTTGCACTTTCTTGATTATAACATCAATCACATTTTATTTTAAATCAGCATTTTAATAGATTACAATGTGATAGTATGTACCAGCTGTTTGCTATTAATTTTTTGCCTGTAATAAGTTTGAATATAATTACTTGAAGTAATATATCATGTTTTAACGAAAGTTTCCCGCCACCGCAAATATCATCTGCGCAAGCAATTTGCATTGACGTGTTTAATCACTTTTTGGCGTTTGAAAGAAAGAGACTTCCTTTAGAACACTTGTATTATAAAAAAAAATTATCATTAAGTACAAGATGTCTGAAATAAAAATATCGTTATGAGATTAGAACCATCATTTACTTCCAGCTCTGTTGCAAAAAATCAGCTACAGAATGTCACCAAATCGTGTGTACAGCTTTAGGTATTAATGTATCATATGATCATATGAAGGTGTGATACCAAAAGTTCAAAAACAAAGACTAGGACAATCAAGAAGCAGAGCGCTCTGGCCTGCCTACTGATGTTGATGAGACCCACCTGTAAGAACTTGTGGAAGAAGGTCAATATGCAACCACTCTAGAACTTGCTAAGGAGTTATATATTAGTGCTAATCTGTTAATCGCACTGTACATCACATAAACTGGACGTACAAGTTTTCAGTCACTGGGTGCCGCATTAGCTGACTCAAGCAGATAAGGATATACGTGTTCAGAGCCTGCACTAATCTGCTCGAATATCAACGCAAAGGCAAAATTCTGGACCGGATCATCACTTGTGATGAAAAGTGGATTTTCTTCAGTAACACAGGCTGAAAAGGAAGTTGGTCTGTGCCTGCTGGCAGCACCTCAAATTGCAGGTTTGCAGCAAAAAGATCAAGCTTTGTATCTGGTGGGATAGTTGCAGTATTGCCCACAAAGAGTATCTGGAGAAAAGGGTAATGTTCCGTCAAGAATACAAGACCATATTTGTCTCCATTGTCTGAACTCTATACAGATATGAATGGGACCTTTTGCCGCACCCACTATATAGTCCGACATCGCTCCTTCGGGCCTCTGTTTCTTCTCTTCTGCATCTACATCTTCCTTCCAAAATAAGGTTGATCTGTTTTTTGACTCACGGCCACAAAGTTTCTGGGCTGAAGGCTTTGAAAAACTACTAAAACATTGGCAGAAAATCATAGATTTGGGTGGTGATTGCTACCTGCACTCAAGGTACTTCTTTCATGCCTTCCCCTTCCTAACGTTATTGAAAACGTTTTTTACTTTCATTACAACCAGATTCCATTTCCAGCTGTTTAAGCTGTTCAGTTCAGCTTTCATTCATTTCCAGCTGTTTCAGTTAATTTTAAATTTTCTTTTAAATAAAATGCTGTATGTATTGAATATTTTACAGAAATAACTATAAGACTATAATTTAATTTTATGATCTTCCAGTGAGTGTGATTTTGATATAAAATATTTCTTTTATGGTAAATTATATTTTTCATATAATATCTATATCTAATTTCTTTTTAAGATTTCAGTAAGAGAATTAATTTCCTTTTAATGTTTTTGTCTTAGGCTTTCGAGATATCAGCAGTTCAAAGATTTCCATAAGCGTATTTTGGTAGCCACAAATTTATTTGGCAGAGGAATGGACATTGAAAGAGTTAATATAGTTTTTAACTATGACATGCCAGAAGACTCAGATACCTATCTCCATAGAGTAAGAATTTTTTTTTATTCATCTGTATGCATGATTTGGTTTGTAAAAAAACTGTGCAGTTATTAATAAGTAGCTAGCTTCTCTCCACCTGGAAAATCAGGAAACATAAACCTGTTTTGAAAAGTTATTTTCAATAAGTTAAGGAAGTTTTAAAAAATATTTATGGACTCTCTGAAATAATAATGATTATGGTTATAATAGTGTATGGATTGAGTAAATGTGAATAACTTTTAAATAAGTTTATAAATTATAAATAAGAGGTACATAGAAAAATTTTTTTGTTCTAAAAATTATTTTCTCTTAGATGGACACCACTTATGATTATATAATAGTGTACAATAAAAACAAATTTCCCCATCTAAAAAGAAAGAAAATAAGTTATTGTAATTTGTTTTTCTTGCATGAAGTATTTTATCAGTCTTATTTTTCATACAAAAGGTCCATTTTGTATTAAAGGTGAAATATTTTAAATTTTTTGTTTTCTGAATTTACTTAGTTGTTTACATAATTTCCTTATCAATACTAAGATTTATTAGCTGACGTGTTAGACATTGGTAAATAAAAATTCTAAAGAAATTATTTCTTAACCATAAAAGACAACTTTTTGTATCGTCCTATTTGGATTTAATATCAGCTCTTCCCCCCCTTAAAATGTATTATTAGTTAGAAGCTAATCAAATATCATTTGAACCTTAATAATTATGATGATCTCTGGATAAACTAAATCAGTTCTTTTATTTCTTAGGTTGCACGTGCAGGACGATTTGGAACTAAAGGTCTTGCGATAACATTTGTTTCGGATGAAACAGATGCTAAAACTTTAAATGAAGTACAAGAAAGATTTGATGTGAATATATCTGAACTACCAGAAGAAATTGACATTTCTTCATATAGTAAGTTTACTTCTAAAAGTCTATGTCTGTCTAAAAAATTTAGTTTATGAGAACTAGTTTATTAAAAACAAGTTCTGGCTTTTCTAGAATTCAAATTTTTATATATGTGTTAGTTCAAAAGTTGTTCTTCATACATTCTTAACTTCCGTCTTCATTTCCATTTTCAGTTGAAGGACGTTGAATACAGGACGAATTTGAAGAAAGTCTTTCTTCATGTGAAGTTGAATAAGTGTTGCATATGACGAGCACTTTATATGTATCAATCAGTATCTTTTGTGTAATTTTTATGAGCATCTGTGTGATGTTATTGTATATATGCATTTCTCAATTAAACTTTTTAGTTGACCAGTGTTACGACTGATTGTTACAAATTTGATTACATTTAGAACAAAATTAACTGATAGGTGCAGCAATTGCTTTATAAGCAAAATTTGTGTTCTGAAATATATCTTGTGTATATTCCGAAGAAATTTTAAAATTTTAAGGTGATTATTTTATTTGAATAAAATACTGTCTATTCTGCTGATAAACTGCAAACATTTACTACACTATGGTTGCAGTATAATATAAATTACCTGATAGTTTAATGGTTATAAAAAATCTTTAACCAGCAGTGCTTACGTGCACTTTTTACGAGCTCTTTGAACCTCCTTCTTCGTTTATTTATTGTCTTAGGTTGTTATAAGTGAAGTTGAAAATTTTCTAGACTTGTCAAGATTGCCTATTTACTCAAAATCTCCAGCGTTTGTTGCCAATGTATGGTCATTTATACCCAGTTTGTAAAAATTTCTAGAAGTGATGTAAGTCCTCCATGTTGGTAAATTAAAGTGTCAATTGGCAACATTTCTTGAATAAAAAATTCTAATGTAAGAAATGTCTGGAAAGCATGAAGAATGAAGCACAATTTCCTGTCTCAAATTGCTAATTTGCTAAATGAGTTGAATATCAGGTCTGGAATTATTCTTATGCAATATAACTAACTTCCTTGTATGTTCAAAAGTTGCGGGAATCGTAATCGGACACATGCATGAGTGAAACTATCAGTTTCTTCACTACTTCTACTTGCAGTTTTAGGTAATTAACTTTAATTTTAAAAAATAAAATGAACACTTTTATCGTAAAAAAATTTCCTTTATCTATTTTAAGATACATTATGTAAAAATATTTGTTAATTGTAAAATTATTATAATAAATTAAAGAAATATCAAAATTGCTAAAATTTTTGGCAACCCCATACTACAGAATCGCGGAATCTGCAGTAAATGACTGTTACAAGACTAGCTTATGCTGTTTATTACAAACTTCTATATTTATAATTCAGATATTAGTTTGAACAACATAACAGAAATATGAATATATAATAGAAGATACATATTATAACAGAAAATAGGTAGATGTACCTCTTTCAGTATCTGCTTCTACACCTATAGAAATAAATTTAGTTAGTATATTTTCTTAAAAGAAAATCAAAAAACTAAAATATTCTAAATAAATCAAATCTTCAAAATAGGCCAAAAAAGTAGCCTTAGTTTGAGGCACAGAGGTAAAAATTTATTTTGGGAATGAGGTTTCTATTGATAGAGTAATCCTTCCTAGAGATTCAAAGAGGTAATTCTGGACTTCAAGATGAAAAATACATGACTTGCTTCGATGATGGAATGAACATAATGTAGAAGAAAAGCTAGTAGCCAGTGAGCAATCCTGACTTGAGCTAGTAGAGATGCAGAAACATCACTCGGGGCTGTAGTAGGTAGTCGGCGGTATTTAATCAATGGTGGAGGAGATGGCACATCACAGTTTAGAATCCCCAAATTATTTGTTCTGGGAAAATCAGTTTGAATTTTTAAAACAGTACGGCCATATTTACCCATCAAAATTATGAGATACGTGGGTGCCGGCAGATGGAATGCGAGAAGAAATCTTGAGCTGCAAATAACTTAAAACCATAATACCTATTCAATAATGCATACTGACTGGTCGGAGACAATCAACTGATGCTCATCAGAAGAGAGGATGGAGAATTCAAAGTTCTGTGACACACAATGAAGGTATTGATGAATATAGTTATTTTTATTAGCAAAATATTTTCGATGATTTTAGTCATCGAAACTCCACTTTTGAGGTGTATGTCATTGCCCTCAAAATCACTAATCCCCCCAAAAAAATTACACCAAATTAAAGTTGCTTTTTTACCTGTTTCAAATTTTACAATGTAAAATAATTTTTAACCAATTTTTTAAAGGGAGTTTCCTCCCTCTTTTCCCAAAAGAAACTTTGATAACAAGATCTATTACTTCTTTGAAAAATTCCACCAATCAAAAAACTTCTCTTGAAAAAAATAACTTAAAGCAATTTCATAAGTAATGTGAGAAGAATAACTTGCATGAATAAATAAAATTCTACCATATTATGCATTCTGACATAAAGGTTTATAAAGTAAGCTAATTTCAGAAATAATACATATTAAAATTATTTCCATACAATAATAAAGCAAATAGAATTTAAATATTTTCCTTTCATATCCTACTGCCACATTTATATAAACATTTTACTCTGCTTGCACATCTTTAAACTTTGAAAGTGTGTCAAATGGATGTGTAAATTAGACACAATTGCATGGAAAATTTAAACAAGCACCCAATTTTTTATATTCATAGAATAAAATGGTAACAGGGTTAACATTAAAAGCATTCCATCCTATTAAGTTCTGAGGCATTCTGACATCATGTATGTGCATTTATAATGTCAAATAAAACACTTCAGAATAACAAATATGATATACTGGGCCACCATCTTGTTCTCATATTACATCTGATATAGAGGGCCCATGAAGGGAAAATAAAACATGATACAGTGGGAGCAAAGAGGTTAAAGGAAACAAAAATCTACATTTCTTTCTCTATCAGGGAGTAATAACCAAAAGGTTTCTTATATTAGATGCGAATAGAATTCTTTTCAGGTTAAATGTGACATCTATTTATTACAATTCAAATTAAAATAAATCCTTTGTGCCATAAAAGTACATTTTTAAATAATTTGGTTTAATAATAACTAAATCTACATAAATTACGTAAAAAAGAATGCAATGTTCAAATTTTGCAAGCTACAATTTTCAAACACAATACAGGGAAGATAAAACTAATTGTTTGATAATTAATTTAAGAAATATACTAAAATAATATGTTTTAAAAGATATTGAAGGTCATAGATGCATATATAATCAGTTTAATCACCAAATGGAAAGGCAGTTTATTTTAGAGATAACTGAAGTTCTGTCATCGTCAAACTGGCAGTTTTTGAAAACGGCTCTTCACATTAAGATCTTTTGCAATATTCAGTGGGAAGAAGGAAAAAAATCAACTGTGGTTCAACATATTTTTAGAGTATGGTTTCACAAGACTCTTATACAGAGGTAAAGGTTATTTCATATTTGTGAGAGATAAAGGCATTAATTATCTACATGATAGTATGAGATGACTTGGATTATTATTGATCAATGTCCATTACATCAGAAAAACTGTTTATAGTAAGTATTCTTAAAGTAAATAAAATTATAAAGCTTTCCATTGAAATTGTTAAATTACAATATTATATAGTGAGTAAACTTACATTAATTACTTCGGAATGTCCTAAACATGAAATTTCAGAGATAAGAAGCATAATAAATATCTTAGAATGGCATACTTTTAATTATGTCATCAGGAAGAAAACAAATGAAAGGTAAAGCTAAATATTGTTGTAATGTTTCACATTAACAAAAGAATATATATATAGTAACGGTAAAGCAGCTTTTCTTTAATATAACCAACTTACACTTCAAAACTATGTTCTTTTATAAAAAAATAGTAAAAATAAATACATACGTATAAGCATTCCCTTTTTTAGTTTGTCCAGATGATGACATACATTTGTTTCTGCAGCTTTATGCAAGTGCTCTGGAGTATCCTTAAAATATATATATATATATATAAATATTTTGTATTAAATAATCTTTGATACATATATTATTGCTCAAAGATTGCAAGGTTACATACTTTGAATGACTGCCCTTCTTTAAGATATCAATCAGTCAGATGACTTTCATCTTGTAATAACTTTGATTATATGGCATTTCTCAATAAAAATATATGAAACTGAAAATTTAACTTAATTAACCAATCTCTCAAGGCAAGTTGCAAATGGCATCAAAAATTGCAAATTTTGAAATACCTGGGTCAATTTTTATCGTACTGGAATCAAACTTCTAATTTTATTTCTTCATTACGAGTATAAAACTTTTATATAAGTACAGGAGACCACATTAAAAACCAGATTCAGTTATTTGTCGAAAATTAATTATCTTTTTTCAATTTGGTATTTTCCAAACATGAATACTTCATGATTTAAAACACTTCTGTAATTGGAAGTACGCAACTGCAACCAACGATACGAAAATAAAGACCGGGTAAGGAGTGGTTACATATATGTCATTAATAAAAGCACAAGGAAAAGACGGAACACTGTTGATGCGTACGTAGATCCATATTGAAGAAGAAACATTCTGATTTTGTAGTATGCTTATAATGTTGATTTAGAAAAATCTAAGAACTTAGCAATCGAGCCAGTTTTAATTCCATTTTTATTTTCCAGTTGACGTTTGTGGCCACAATCACTTGGAACTCTAGTCGTACCTTTTTACAGAACATTTAAATTTTTGATATTATTGCAATAGCAAGCAAGACATCGAAATTACATCATAGCAGAGTAGAGAGCAAAGTTGAAGTGTGTAGTTATGTAAGATGGAAGCACACGAGAAAAGTTCTGGTTTGAGTTAAAGTTTCAGTTCTCAATTATTACATCATCAGTGCGGTACAGACCATGCAAAATGGAATGATCTAGAAATGACATGATCCAGAGAAGTTATTACGATGTTTAATAACTTTTACCGTTAGTTTAAACTATAATTTCTGATTCACGTATATATATATATACCCACTCCTTACTCAGCCTTTATTTTTGCATCATTGGTAATATATATATATATTACATTACCAATGGTAATATATACACATACATGCACATTTAGTTTTGCCATTTGCAATAAAAAAGTGAAAGTGTTGTAGTAGTCTCATATACAAAACTTCAACATTCTACAGCTAATCGTTTTTGACATGCAAGATGTACAGATGTCATGAAAAAATCTCTTTTTAATCCATTGTACCTTCTGTTTTGGAAAAAAACAGTCCTTCATTCTGTCTAATGTAGACATCATGCAAAAAAAAAAAAAAAAAAAAAAAATCATCCAAATGGATTTGGGAATGGTAAAGGTGGATATTTCTGTTGAAATATGCAAAACTCAAAATGAAATACTCAAAACTTTTTGTGATTACAATACTAAAAAAAAGACTGTGCATGTCAAATTTTTTAAACTCAAATTATGATTTCCAAAACATATCTTTTCAGCTCAGCCGCTCCTTCAAGAAAAGGGAAGAAGTATAAAAATAATGGCTATAATCCAATTTGTACCAATGTTTAAATGCAAAATTTTAAATTCAACAAAATTAAATTCTTATGTAACCCTTAATTATTGAACTTCCATTCTTCTTTTCCTTTGGTGAAAGTATTTACATATATAATTCTGAAATTTGTTTTTCCACACCAGTTTTGTAGAATTGGTATAGTTTCTATCAGTATTTAGAAAAATGTAACAACAGAATGAAAAGCATTCTAACAGTTGGCTTCTGTAAATACATTTGAAGTCTATAAATATATCATGAAATATGCATTGATAGAAATTAAGTATGTAAAAAGATAAAAAGTAATAAATTTGATTTCTTAATTTTTTAAGAAAGAACTCATTCTTGAACTTTGTAAATGCAGTGCACATATTTAACTTTCATTTTACTGCTGAATGCATTTTCATGTGACAAATCAGTATAAAGTGAATTTCTAAAGGATTAATATGAATAATTTCAATTTAAAAAAACTATCAATTGCATACTATGCAGAATCCATAAATTTATAGATTCAGCAGAACAGAGATGCATTTTACAGGAAATATTGAATTCAACGATGAAAAAAGTTCATATCCATATCTGCTGTTATGCATGTGGCACAAGCTGACACATTAAAAATATTGAGCTTCTGAGCATGCAAAGCTGCCTTTCATTAAATAAGATGAATAGTAAAAGGGCAAGCAAAAAGATGAATGGTAAAAAGGCAAGAAAAAGAACTACAAAATGTGAGGATACATGACTGGCTGGCTGGTTTGTGTTGTAAAATTAATAATGCAAAATGAAAGTTGAATTATTTTCAAATGTTTACATTTTAAAGCTTTCAAACAGAAACAACAACAAAAAAAAAAAAAAAAAAAAAGATCTCATAAAATCCCATATTTAAAACTTTTATAACTATTTTTCTAACTTGGAAGGATACATAGAGGAAATGAAGTACAGTGAAAAATTAAAAGCAGGTACTAAAATTCATAACCAAGCAGAACCAATCTTACACAAATAAAAGGCAAACCTCTCGAAGAGAAATCCTCCCAAAAAATTAAATAGCTATTCTAGTGCAAACATTCAAAAATTTTAGAACTAGCAGTAGTTCTGAAAGACTACCATCAAAACAAAAAAAAAACAAAAAAAAAAAAAAAAAAATGGCAAATTAAATAAAAGGACATTATGCATACATTTAACATCTGCAATGCAATAGAAAAATAAGTAAATCAATGTTCTTAAGGTATTTGGTGAACTTGGACAGAGTCCCAATCCAAGAAGCTGCAATATCCCTGGAAATGAAAGTTTAAAATCTAAGTCTATATCTGACGCCTGAAACATTCTAATAATAGTCCCCCCAAACAAAGCTAAAAAATCAACACCTATTAAAGGTTAAAAACACCTAAAAAAAACCCAGAGTTACCAATTCAGAAGGTTTTTTATAGCCTGCCCGACATTTAATAAGGAAATAAGTACAAAAAACAGTTCTTGAGACTAAAACTACAGTTTTGCCTCCATTTTGGAGCCAACAAGGTTGACAGCCAAACCAGTCTCACACTGCCCCCCTCTGACGAGCAGGGAAAATTGATGAAGCTAATTTGCAGCAGGACAAGAGCACAATCCCTCCACCCAGTCAGAGGGCAATACTGCATTTTTTGTGGAACCTAATGACTGGAAATTTTTGGTAAAAGTCGTTCAGGGAACAGATACCATCTGTTCGATGCCATATGAAGTGAAAGTACTTAAGAATTCTGATAAGAATTATCATGCTGTCGCTAATGTTCTAACGAACCAGGGTGCTGAATTTAATCATTCCATCTTAAGCAGGACAGACCTTGTTAAATGCATAATTTGAAGACTAGTGCTGACAGGATTAAAAATGAACTTACTCTCATAGGCTATTCTGTTATAAGTAATACAGCTCAGGAGATATAAGTCCCAACACCCCATGCATTTATTTTTAGTAAAACAGAATCCAATTCTCTCTGTATATGACATATTCAAAGAAGACAAGATCATAGAACTTGATATTTAGTGGGAAAAAAAAAAAGAAAGGATGCCCAAGCCAGTGCTGGGTGTGCTAGAAGTTTTCACAGTTCTGCTGCCTGCATTCTCCCAGTCCACTGCCTGAGATATGCTGGACTTCACTTCTCAGGATTCCGAGACTGCACCAAGGACTATGAAGAGCCCAACACCTGCACCAGCTATTCTGGTCTTCACACCACAAACTGGAACTAAGTTTATTTCCGCGCTCCCGCTCCTGCTGCATTCAGCAGCACGGCCCACTTTTCTCCAAAAAAGTAGCTTCTCCACAAACTAATCCCAGTACAGCAGGCCTGTTCCTGAACATCCTGCTCCTGCCACTGCAATAGCTCAGCCCAGGTTCTAGCCCCAGATGTCGTCCCTGACAACAACTCTTGCACCGACACCCTCAGATGTGTGTTCCTGATATCAAGGCAGTTTGGAATCAAACAAAATCTTCTCCTAGCTGCATTCTGGAACTGCCCCAACTCTGTACTGTCTTCAAGGGACCTGAATGGGCATTCTACGTATAAGAGAGCTACTAAGCATTCACCTGCTACGGCCTCAAGTTTGACTCTGGACGACAAGATTTAGTACTCATCAGCTTTTGGAATGCAAACGGCATGCTATCAAAAATTCATTATGGGATTCCATCCATGAGCACCACTTGGATATCTTCCTTGTTAGGAGGTGCATCTGGTTGAGGGACGTAATGCAAATATCCCTAATTACGCCTGCTATGACAATAACAGAGCAGATAGCAACAGTGACACTATTCATGCTAGTGGTGGTACTTCTATCTATGTAAACACACTGTTAAACATAGCGGGAATTATTACTCAGCAACTGGGCACCCTAGAGGCAATGATTGTCCAACTTTATATTCCGAATCCCCCCAATAGCATGTAGCATTCTGCTATATGTCTCCGAAACAGGGATTTGTCTTTATTCCTGATCTAAAAAAAAAAAAAAAAAAAACTTAGCGGAGCTTTAAATAACCTAATTATTGCAGAAGATTTAATTGTGCATCATAGAAGTTGGGACTATGTCAATGCCAACAACTATGGCAATAAACTCAAAATTTGGACTCAAGGCACCCGTATCCAAATTATTGCTGCAGGAGTACTTACGCATTATCAATTTCCTGGTGGCATAGGTGCACCCTTTATTATTGATTTGGCACTGTTTAAAAGCATACCATTAGATTATTCGATCGAGGTGATTCTTGAATTGTTCTCTAACCGTTATCCAGTTCATCTCACCCTTAATTGCAGCAAAATTTACCAGCACACATCTCAACAAATTGGAACAATTTTTGGCATGTTTTGGAGTCTCAAAATTAGCAGTAATCAGAAAGCAGATTTAGCCATCAACCAACTCATCTGCTCTTTAAAAAGTTCTTTGGATGCACTTTTCTAAGTTTCGACCTAATCATCCTCAGCTCCCAGC